ATTTTGGAGACTTCACCCTGGTTTTGCGGTCCTTTTGTGCTGAGAAAGGAGACCCCCCCCCCCCCCCCAGAGACCTTGGGCAGGGGGGGGGGCGGGGATGTTTGGGGGTAGGAGGTGGCTAGGCAGTTGCCAGGGTGACATTTCCCAGGGAAGGCTCCAGTTTGAATGGAGGATCAAAAGGTGCAGGCCAGAGCACCTGCTCCTGGCCAGCAGAGCATGAGTGTGTTGATAGAGGCAGTGTGGGCTGAGGCCTAGATGCCAGAGGTTCCCTGAGTCTGGTGGCCTGCTTCTTTCAGGTCTAGGACCTAACTGGGGGGTGGCATTGGGGAAAACCTAAGGAGCCCCCAGTCCACACCCCACATGGACACACTGGGGTGGGCACATGGAAACTGGTTTCAATCGTTTGGCAGGTTCCTGCCCCATTTGCAGACCTGAGCTTGGCCACTAAGAGCTGTGCCAGCCCTCCTTTGTAGCCTCCTGTCTCCCAGCCTTGAATCCGTGCTCACGAAGACAACGTCACACCTGTGTTGTTTCCCGGTGTGCCCATGGGTGGTGGCCAGTAGCCAGAATGTCCCTGCGGCTAGGTCTGCTCACCTGAACATCAGCCTGGGGACCTCTGCTGTTGCAAGACAGAGGAAGCCAAGCTTGACTATAGCTCCTGCCTCTGCTGCCTCCCTGGGCCAGATGCCTCTACCACTGATCCCAGCTAACCCTTTCCGTGTCTACTTACCACCTGCATTTTTCGTCATCAAAATTAGTTTTCATTTTAGTATTAACCCCTCACAATCTTTAGCGATTCCACCCCTATCCATTGTCCTCCCAGCCTCATCACTGCATACCCCCAGCCCCGCCCAGGCCGCATGTCCACGGGGCACCCAGGGGTGTTACCTCAGTTTCATGTGTATGTCGCCTCCCCCAAGATGTTGCTTGTTGCCTAGTTCCATCTTACAGACAACAAAACTGAGGTGCGAGAGGTCATCTGATCTGCCCACGCCATGGAGCATGTTGTGCCCAGCTGCAGGCCCACCTATGCCCTCTTTTGAATCCTGGGACATCACTAGGGTGACAGTGCAGTGTGGCCTTGTGATACTGCTGGCATCGCTTAGGTCTTGGGTCACTTCTAGCTAATCCTCTGCTCCAAAGCTGGCATAGCTGTGTGGCCCTTGATCACCTGCACAGGGCCTGACCCACCAGTGCTGATGCCAGATGTCTGTGAAACCTCCACAGCCCCCTCCTCTCTCCAGAAGCCAACACTCCGTGGCTGAAGTTGAGGAGTGGGGAAATGGACAGAGGGCTGTGGCGCCCTGTCCTGTCTGGAGCCCTCCTCCTGTGTCCCTTTCTATACTGTCTCAGGATATTCAAGAGAGCACCCTTCCCCTCCACCACCACCGTCTCCCCGCTTCTTGAGGTTCCTCCCTCTGGGTTTGGCTTCCCAAGATGTGGGGCTGCCATTACCCCCTCTTCTCCTGTGTCATTCCCACGGGGACATGTCCCCTCACCCCGTCCCCCGTGTCTCTGGCAGAGTCTTCCGACGACTCCTACGTGTCCGCCGGAGAAGAGCCTCTGGAGACCCCGGTGTTTGAGATGCCCCTGCAGAACACGGTGGTGGCTCCAGGAGCTGACGTGCTGTTCAAGTGTATCGTCACCGCCAACCCCTGGCCCCAAGGTGAGCTCCAGAGCTGGTGAGACAGACAGGCAGGTCACCCCCACAATTCCTGGAGGGACAGGTGAAGAGAAGGGGAGAGTGTCCACTCTGTGGGGAGAGTGTCCACTCTGGCCTGACGTGTATGTGTGTCTTTCCCAGAACCCCCCGAGAGAGGGGCAGACAGGCCTGAGCTGTGTGTGAGGGGAAAGTCCTCGGGATTCCCTGGGGTGGGGAGAGGAGTGGTTTGGACAACCTGTGGGGCCCAGTGGGCCTGTGGGTCGTGGCACCCCGGTCACCCTGAGGCTTCCCCACAGTGTCCTGGCAGAAGGATGGGTCCACGCTGCGCAGTGATGGCCGCCTTCTCATCCGTGCTGAGGGCGAGAGGCACACCCTGCTTCTCCGGGAGGCCCGGGAGGCCGACGCTGGGAACTATACAGCTACAGCCACCAACGAGCTGGGCCAGGCCAGCTGTGCTGCCTCCCTGGCCGTGAGACCTGGTAGGGAGCCGGCGAGCCCCGGGGTGGGGTGAGGGGCGGGAGCACTGACCGTCCCTGGTGGGCCCAGGCTGCTTCCCGCCGAAGCCGAGAGCCCTGGCCTGCACCGTGCAGCCTGTTCCTGTGACTTGTCTGCTCTGGAGGCAGCATTTTAAATGGCCCCTGCCTCAGGACAGGGCCAAATCCCAGGGCAAATACCAGGCCAGCCAATTCATGAAGTCACTGAAATGTGTCTTTAGACAGCTGCTAAATGCCATCCTCCCATGGCATTTCCCGAACAGGGCCCCGTGGGGAAAGCAAATTATCCTTGAGTCTCCGAGAAAAAGAAATCTCTCAGCTCAAAGGGCTTAAGAGCCATGAGGAGCCTTCTGAAGTCATTTTCCCTGTAGAACAGCACCCCCCACCCCCAGGAGAAGGAGCCGCCACCGTTAAGTGCCGCAACCTGCCCCCTCCCTTGCTCCTGCTGTTGAACCCAAAGCCCTCAAGAGGGTGTAGTGAAGAGCACACGGCAGAGATGGCAGTGGTGGAGGTTACCTCGCTTTCTATTTTTACGAAAGCTCTCACTGGGCGTAGGGCTGCTTCCTTTGGGATGAAGCCCAGTTTGTTGGAGCTTCAGGACAGGGCTGCATGGGTTCAGCGCCAGGTTGCCAGACCTGGTAAAGTGCTGGCCCCGGGCAGTGGGGACAGGGTGGGAGGAGAGGCTGCCAAGGGGGCGTTCTGGAAGGGAGAGATGCAGACCAAAGCTTCGGGAGTCACCGCTGGGTGGGCAGCCTCCACCACCGTGGAGGTCCTCGGCTGGACTCAGCGCACCACAGGGACTGTGCCCAGACCAGTCCAGCGGGCCTGTGCTGGGGATGCTGGGTGGAGAGGCCCCAGGCCCTACAGCAGGCTGGGACTTAGACCAGCAGGGGGAGGGGCTGGGCATGGCTGCAGGAGAAGGGCACTCGCTGTTCTGTCCCTTTCTTTCAGCGCTGCGGGAGGCAAGATTACAGAGCCCATCCTGCTCTGGTCCCCGGCCTCTGCACCTGCATGTTTAGGGAGGCCTGGGTGTCTCTGACCCGAGTCCCAGTGCTGCAGGAGACCCCCTAGGTGCAGCATGTGGCTCTGTGGAAGGCAGGTTCTCCTTACCTTCCCTGTCCCTGCCAGGAGCCCGGGTTTTCGGCTCCTCGCCCCACCCTCCGCGCTGAATCATACCCAGCCCTCCACGGCATGCTCCGTCCTTCCATCACCTCTGGGATCTGGCTTCTGACTCATTCCTGCTCCCCTAGGGGGCCCAGGCCTAGCTCCAGGACTCTGGTCGATACCTGGCTTGGGCTGAAATTTGGCAAGGGGTGATGGGGCGTGTCCCCCCCATACTGGCTTGGGGCCATTGGGGAGCCTTTTAAGGTTGGACAGGAGGCTTGGGGCAAGGCAGCTGTCAGCCCTGCACTGGGAGTCTGTGTTTGCCACACTGAGCCTCCCCGCACTTGAGTTTCCTCATTTGTAAACCAGAGATAATTATACCATCCTCACGAATGAAAGCAAATGTGTGAACGAGCTTTATGAACTGTAAAACTGTAGACAAATGTTAGTTGCTAGCGTTATTACAGGGTGCTGTTGTGCACAGTTTCCGGGAAGCTGTCTTTTTCTTTTCTGCTCTTACATCAGACTCTTTATACTGGGGGGCGAGGGGGGGAAGCCTCTCCTACCCTTGCCTGGCCCCCAGCCCCCAGCCCCTCTATACTATCCAGTCCCTGTATCCCCAGCCGCCAGGGCATGCCCAGCCTGCTTCACCCTGGGGAGCCAGCTGGGAGCCATCGCATTAGTCAGCAACACTAGGCTTTGCGGCAGGGAATAGAGTCCCCCATGGCCTCCCCACCCCGTAAATCAGGCTGGCTGGAGGGCCCCAGGGCTTGGGGGCCAGGCATGTGAGTCTTGACTGGGCTCAGTGGAAGAAGCAGACTTTCTTACCCTACAAGGCGCTGTTTGGTCCAGAGCAGCTGGACAAGGGCCAGGACCCGAGAGCGGCCGGAGTTGATGGAAACAGTGGGTGGCACAGACATTTGGCAAGCCAGGGGGTCCCAGGCTGGGGTCTGTCGGTGCCTGGGGAGGGGCTGGGAAGGCTATCCCGCAGTGTGGCTGTGAGCCGGGTGGGAGCAGTTTGAGGGTGCAGGTGTGTAGTGTCTCTGGGACCAGGCCTTGTGGAGCACCTCGTTGCTCCTCACCACCCACCCCCCACGCCCTGATAACAGGACTGCATGCCCTGTGCCCTCGCAGGGTGCCCACCCAACAAGAAATGAGGACAGAGACAAGGACTGAGTAGCTCAAGAATGCAGGGAAGAGTGTATTGCCCAGCCGTGCGGTGCAGGAGGCAGGGTCTGGCCCTCATGGTCTCCCGCGGCCCCGGGCCCCTCCCACCAAGTAACTGGGCTGACGTGTGTTCGTGTGGGGGTGTGAGACGTGTACTTACCCGCAGCTTGGCAGCCTGGGCTGCTGCCCACATCCATCACATCAGCATTTATGGAGAACACACTGGGTGCCAAGAGCGGTACCTCGCTACACACTGTCTTGTTTGGAGGCTGCTGTCTACGCATTTCCAAACCCTTCTGCACCTTTTTCCTTCACTGAGCACCAGCAAGCCATATCCATCCCCTGGAGGGATGTGACCAGGGGTGGAATGCCCCTTCTGTGGAGGGGGAGATGGGAAACTGGAGAGCTACGTGACGTAGGGCTCACCCAGAGCCCAGCCCCTCTAGCCCTCCCGAAACATGCCAAGCAACAGGTGATTAGGATGTTGGGGTTACTGTGAAGCAAGTCAACGTAGTGTGGCAGCAGGTGACAGCAGGCAGGTGACCTGCTCCAGAGGGCTGGTGTGTCCCGGGCCCTGTGCCGACTGGACTTTCGCATTTCATTCAGCCCTGGGAGGTGGGTTCTGTTATCACTCTCCTGCTACAGAGGAGGAAATGAGACTTGGGAAGCTTTAGAAAATTCTGTAGGGCTGTGCTCAGTGGTAGCACTGTGGTGGTAGAAACTTCTCGAACGTGCTCATCCAGGTCTGGCTAGCCCCTTGCAGCGATCAGCGTTTGAAAGGTGGCAAGTACAAGTGGCTATTGGAAGAAGGATTTTTCCTTCCTATTTATTTATTTATTTACATTTTTTTTAATGATTTATTTCTTTATGTATACAAGAGCTTGGGTGTAGGCCAGAGGTGAGGATTCACCAGAGACAGACTAGGGAGCAGAACAGGCCGACAGGAGAGATCTCCTGCGCCATGTGGATCAGCTCGCTGGCTGGGGATTGAACTCGTGCTGCGGTGGCTGCAGACGGCTTCCTAGTGCTTTGCTTTAACCCATTGCACCACCAGGGAGGGCCCTTTTCCTTTTGTTTGAATGAATGTGCATTTAAGTAGTCTGGGTGGCTAGTGACTGTCCTGTTGGGGTGCTCGGGCCCAGGAGCAGAGGGCTGGCTGGAGCCGGCCCATGACTTAAAGCCCAGTCCTTGAGTCTACACCCCTAGCTGTGGCCCCCTTTCCTGCTACTCTGCAGAGATTCAGGGTAAAGGTGGAATTGTATTCATGGGCTCCCAGGGTGGGGTGGGAGCCAAGACTGCTAATACCCTCAGTGGGTGGGTGAAACTGGGGTTCCTCTCCTCCCCTTCTGGACTTCCTGCCCTGCCCTGGGCTTGCTTTGTCTCTTCACATGCCTGTGATGCTTACTCGGGGCTCACCCCCACTCCCAGTTCCATCCCCGCTGTGGGCTATGGCCAGGAGGAAGGGGGATGTGGGGACATGACACTAGGTCCTCCCTTAAGCACCCGTCTCATGTATTTGAGCTCAAGGATCTAGCATTTCCAGCTTAGACCTTGGCTTCTTCACTTTACCTTAACTGGCTTTTCTCATCTGGAAACCAAGGATCCTAATATCTCCTGCACGGCTTAGTAGTATTTGTGAAGCTCTGTGGGGCTACGGATTCAGCTCAGGACTTTTGGGCTTTGTGAAGCTTGGTCTAGTCTCAGCCACGCGACCAACCCCATCCCAACAGAACAGAGTCGTTTCCTGGGGGTTGTGAATACAAGGGGAAAGGGAGAAAGTCCTGGCACCAACCTCTGCCCCTCTTCTCCCAGCCCTAGTCCTGGCCCGTGCCACAGACTCCCTGGTTTTCCCTGTGAAGGCAGCAGGGGTGTCTTGGCACGAGATGTGGCTTCACCCATCCTTGTCCATCCTTGATGGGACTGTGGGCAGCTTCTGAAAAAGCGGTGTGTGTCCGTTGGCCGGGCTCAGTCTCTCCCCATCCCTGTCCACCAGAAGCAGGTAGGCCCCAATGGGGGTTCCCCAGATCTTCCCAAGAACGGTGTTAGCACTCAGAGCAGTGGGTCCTAAGCTACCGTGGCTGCCAGTGCTTTCCCTCACCTGGAATCATAGGTGGGAAATTAGCCACTTCCACAGTGAGGCCTGGCTGGCTGTGAGATTCCCAGTTCCCATGTCCATTTTCCTTTTTTTTTTTTTTAAAGATTTATTTGTTTATGCATACAGAACTGGGGTACAGGCCAGAGGTGCAGGGGGCGGCGAGAGGATTCACCAGAGACAGAGTGGGGAGCAGAACAGGCAGATCAACGAAGTACACTGCTGAGGGGAGCAGCGGGCGGGTCAGGAGAGGTCTGCTGCGCCATGTGGGTCACCTCCCTCGCTGGGGATCGAACTCGTGCTGAAGTGGTTGTGGTTTGCTTCGCAGTGCTGGTGCTGTTGCGCCACCAGGGAGGGCCTCTCTGCACATACTTATTACCTCTGAACTTGTCTGCCAGGAATGCTTTCCTGCTTCAGCCAAAGACGTCACTCTGATGCTGCCCCCATTCCCTCAGCTTCCCCCACCCTTCCTGCCTGAGCCCAGGCTGGTCTCCTGGCCTGTTCTGTGGCCTGTCTGCCTCTCCCTGGCCATCCAGCCATGATGGTACCTACGCTTTGGCCTCTTCTTAGCCCTCACAGCCATGCTGGAGGCCTCCTGGTCAGTCAGGGTCCAGGCAGCCTGCAGCGACTGTAGGTGAGGTGACAGTGGGGTGGGGGGAGTGTAGACATCTCGTGACATGGCAAGCTCCTGGAGCAACCTGGGTTGCAGGCAGCGGCTGGAAGCACCTGCAGAGGGTAAAGAGGTTGGGGTGGCAGAGGGGACCCTGGAGCTGTGGCCCCCAAACCAAGTGAGAGCGGGACTGTGGGTAAAGCAGAATGCAGGTACTGGCTACAAAGTTGGGGTTTTGGTGATGGGGCCGGTGGGGTGACACCAGAGTCTGAAGTGGAACCCCAAGAGCAATGGCACCCTGTTGGGAATGTGTGGCGCGCACCCTGGCCCGCCCAGCCCAGTCCTGCTGAATCAGGAGCGCTGAGTAGACACCCAGCACCATGCAGGGAAGGAGCCCTGCAGGTGACAGTGATGTGCAGTGAGGTTGCACACCGCGGCCGGAGAGTGAGGGAGCTTGCTCAGCGGAGAGGCCAGATGGCCACTGGGAAGCGGTGGGCTGTGGGGTTTGGCCTCTGGCTTTCAGAGCCGGCCCTGAAGCTTAGGGGCTGAGCAGTGTGGGGCTCAGGAGTACCACTCTTAGGGTTGTCCTCCCCCCATGAGAATCACGGGGGCCCCTCCACTTCCATGTACCTAGGAATTTAAACCTGTATTTTCCTGACTGCTGTTTCAGGAAAGCTGTTCTTTAGGGTAGAGTAAGGCCTGAGACTTTATAGTCGTTTTTTTTTTTTTTAAGATTTATTTTTACATGGAAGAACTGGGGTACAGGCCAGAGGTGGGCTGATGAGAGGCTTCACCAGAGACAGAGTGGGGAGCAGAACAGGCCAACTGACAAAGTACACTGCCGAGGGGTGCAGTGGATGGGACAGAGGGGTCTGCTGCACCCTGTGGGTTTGCTCCCCAGCCAGGGACTGAACTCAGGCTGTACAAAGTTGGGTTTTTGGTGATGGGGCCAGTGGGGTGACACCAGAGTCTGAAGTGGAACCCCAAGAGCAATGGCACCCTGTTGGGAATGAGTGGCACGCACACTAGCCCGCCCAGCCCAGTCCTGCTGAATCAGGAGCCCTGAGTTAAGTGCTGAGGCTTAACCCCGAGGCCACTGGGGAGGCCGAGGATTTATAGGGCAAACGAGCTCCCTGGTGACCCTGGTGGGTCGTTCAAGAATGCGTCCGGGTAAGCCCTGCTGCAGAGGGCCTGTGTGACACCTTCTACGCCAGTGGCTGTGACTGCCTGTGGTGGAGATGTTGGGGTGCAATGGTCTGGAGAGGGGCTCCCGAATTGCAGGGGCTCTGGTGCTGGTATTTTATCCCCATTAAGTGAGGCGGACCTGGGAGCGGTGCTGGCAGGATAGATGCATTCTCG